TTTGAACACTTTTGGTGATGTCTAAAAGATTATTTTGAAAATTTTTACTTGTTACTTGTGCTGGAGAACAAGATCAGTTTTTCAGTTTAATTTACATATTTGACAATAGTTTATTTTCATTCTGTTTGGCGTTTACATTATATTAAACCTATCTTTTTGAAAAACTTTTCTTTTTAACTTTTCTGCTACGAAAAAATCCTTAATTTGAAATAGTACTAAAGTAATTTTATGAAACTTTTCGCAAATACTGTATGAAACATAGTAAATTTTAGACTTATGCACATATTTAAACGTTTTGCAGACAATTTTTTGAATGAAAAGAGAAATATTTCCCGAAAAATGGTTAGTGCATGGATTTAAACAGGCATAGTTAGTTGACATTTTACTTTATCACTTAAATTTTAATCCATTTAACTCTTTATACCGTGATAAATGTAATTGAAAAAAAATTAAAAATATTGGTAAATAATTTTTTAGAAACATATTTAATAATCCTGAAATTTAAAGAAACTTTTAGCTCATAATGAAGAAAAGGCAGAAACTATAATAATATATCTATGACCTATTTCTGTTATTTTAAGTAGCATTCTGCTAAATAACACCAATAATAGCTATTATCCAAAATTTCGGTGTCGAATGTAGTCGGATACTTTAAGCTGTAGACTACAAAATTAAAAAAAAAAAATAACTAAAAATAAGAAAAAAAATCTCTCATGAAAAATAAAAAAAAAAAAAAAAAAAAAAAAAAAAAAAAGAAAATCTGAAAGGTTTCAGATTTTAAATTGTGTTCAAAGCGGCGCTTTTTTTTAACATTTTGTCTGTTTCCTTTATTCATTAAATATCACATTCTTCGCACTTAAACCATAAAATTCAGCTCAAGAGCAATGTCGCAAAATAGTTTTAAATTGAGCATATCTTTAGAACCTCCGATACAGAGTCTCGCGCGCTGGAGATAAAAATGTTTTTTTTCTGTATAATGTTGCTATTGCTCGCTTTAAAATTCTTGAGTTTGTTAATCAAAAATTCGTTAAAGATTTACAAATATGAAATCGATAATAAAACTAATTTCAAATTTGGGCTTCCACATGCCCATATTCGCAGTAGGATTACGTCATTCAAAATTCGATGGCTTTATGTACCGTTGTTTTATCACGATGCGAAAAATATACATACATTTATGCAGATTTTTCATTATTTAATTTCTTCAAATATAATGCAGGGCTATAACATTTGGTGGCAACAGTTTGAAAAGTGAAACGGAAATTTATAGTGAACCAACGCAAAATCGCAAAACGAAAACAATAGTTCTTCAGGGACAAAGCCCTTTTGGACCAATAAAAATAAAATCTTACAATCTAAAAACTTCAGATAATAGTCTAAATCGTTTTAAAAATTGAAAAATAAAACGTTTCAGAGGTATGAAAAGCATGTAACATTTCTCTCCTTCATTTTAATAAAATTAATATTTTTTGTGTCTATATGTTGTATGTATATTTGTAAAAGTTTAAATTCTGTTTACTACATTCTTGTATTATTTATTTGATTTGTAGTTGTGATTATATTGATTTTTTTATATATGTGCTTGTGTCTAATATGGAATTCTTGAATCGGAGAATGGAAACATTCAAAATGTAGAAAGAACTGAAGTGTACCGTGAGAGATACTCTGTATGCCCTAGATCTTCCTTGAATTGTCTGGGAGCTATGAGTTGTTGCTCTAGCCATCTCAGGACTCTGTGACCAGCTCTTCAAGATTAATACAAACGCATCCTCACTTCTACTTAGATTAAAATTCGAAAATGCAATTTTTTATAAACTCCATCAATCCTGTGATACTGCCCAGTGTCCAGGAGCTGTAGCGTTTATCGCTATTATTCAACGACCATATTGTGATTTACCGGAATTGTGAATTTATTATACGAGTGCTTTTTACAGTTGCTGATATTCCTTGCGCACTAAGAAGAAATTGTTCATATCTGCGCTGTGCTTAGGCAGTTTAATATTAATTATCGTACTGTTTCTAATTGAATTTTTGCAATAAATTGTTAAATTTTTCCCTTAGTGAACCTTCAGAGAGTTATACAACAACCGATAACCCACTACAGTATATAATGTCAACTCATAATGCAAAATTTTAGCAAAAAATAATATTGTAACTGGAATAACTTTTTAATTTTGAAAGCTTCGGCGGTTTTTACTGCATTTTCTTTTTAAACATAAATATAAGAAAAATAATAAATATTAAAAGAGTTTGTTAATTGTCATTAGAATAAAACTGAGAAAGAAATTTATGTATAAACATGTAGTTATAGTGTTACTATAAAATTTCATCACAGTTATTTAATCCTACTTTGAATGCTGACGGCAGTGGGCACAAAATAAAAATTTTGAGAGCTATTATAGGATTTTAAAAGCTTCTTTTATTAATGACACTTATGGTATAAAACAACACGCTTCAAAATAAAAAGACATTCAGATAAAATGATTCTTCAAATGCTTGTGTGATGCATTGGTGTTTGTTACGCTTGTGTAGAAGGGCTTATATATTTGTGCATACTGATTTTTGGTGTCTAAACGTGCTGTATTTGGAATCTACAGGCCTTTCGGTTTGTGAAGATGTCTTGCTTTTGAAGATTCGAGGATTTTTGACCGAGTTACAGGCATTTTAGGATTCATGCGTGTTTAGGGGCTCATTTGCATATGACTTTGAAGTTTTGGCCTGTATTCTTTTACATCGACTTGGTGAAGTACTTTTGTTTTGATATTAATTTCTATACATCGTTTGCTATCTGTATGGTGAATTTTATTCAATTTCATGGTCTATTTTTAAAGTTATTTTGTATTTGAAAATTTGATACTACGTTTTGTTTACGTTTGAATCTTTGTAATTTTGCACCGCGAGCATGTCAACTTTTAGCCAACTGGAAAATATTAAAAATTCGGATTTTTAAATGTTATGGCAGGAGAGACTTATATATAAGTTGGTGCATTGATTATATATGTTTTTCAGCCCGATGGATAATTTTTGGATTTTCCGCATGTAAGATTGATTTTATATTTTACTATGAATGCTTCTCAGATTTGAGGTGTTTTTAAGTATTTTTGATTATTTTAATTTGTAAATCTCAATATTTTCACCTTTTAAGGCGTTTTTAGTTTTATTTACTCCTGATATTTATAAAATTGGATTGTTCGGATGCTAAAGCTGGATGGATTTGTTGTGCTGTAAAAACATTTTTGATGCGTTTTGCAATCATCTTAATATTGTAGAATGTATATGTTTTTGTGTGTGTTTCTGTTTATGTGATACAAACCACTCTGTATTTTATTGAATTTTATTGTACATATGAGAGTTCTTGTCATTTTATCTAACTTTAAATTGTAATTATTGTAAATCTTACATTTGTATATATGTTTTTATTCTGAAAATTTTAATACGGCCCCGTCGCAGTTATATTAGTGAATAATAGTGTGAACTTTTCGTGATTTTTGTGATGAGTCAACTGAAGAGTAATAAGGAGAGTAAACTTGTGGAAGCTGAGGGAGAGACTTTGGAGAGTTCGGATGAAATAAAAGAAATTATGGACTGTGGTAATGATAGACCTAACGATGGAGGAAAAATTGAGAGTGTACTCGTTGTTGTTAGATCATTATATGATTTTGTAGACAAGTTAAAAGCTAGACGAGTCTCACGGGAAATTACCGATGGCCTAGCTAGAGGTATAGATAGAGTTTTGGATTTGCTTGTCTCACAGAATTTAAAGACTATTGAAGGTGCATCAAGGTGCAATCAAGAACCAATATTTTATTTGATATTAAACAGGATATAGATAAAATTAAGGTTATTTTGCAGAAAGATAGAGATACATGTGAAATGAGGGATAGAAAGAATAAAGTATTGGATGTAAATGATTGGAGAGAAAATGAATTAATAGTTAAACCAGCTGCGAATGGCGTTGATGTATGTATACGAGGAGTTAATTGCTAATGTTAGACCAGAGGATGTTGATATGAAAATAATGAGCTCCCATACGAGAAAGAATGGTGATTTGGTGATGAGGTTTAAAGATAGCAGAGAAGTAGACACGGTACAAAATGTTATTGAATCCAGAAAAAATTTAAGGGATAAACTTTATACAAGGAAGAAAAGGTTTATACAACCGAAGATTATTGTATATGGCGTATGAAATTTAATAGATGATAAGGAGATTATGGATAAAATGAAGGAGGAGTGCCTTTGTGATGGAAGTTGTGTTCGTCCTCTCTTTAGACAAAAATGTAAAGAGTCTCCGACGAGATTTCTCATCGCGTTTTCCGTGTAGACCCTCGATGTCAAGGTGTTGTCCTGGAAGACTGCAGAGTTCGTATAGGTTGGAAGGCATATTCGGCTAAGCTATCTTAATCCGAAGAGGTGTCTGCGTTGCTTTCGATTCGGACATACTACTAAAAATTGTGAAAATGAAATTGTATGTTTTAGATGTTCTGAACCACATGAATTTAAAAAATGTAAAATGGATGTAGAGATTTGTGTAAACAGTAAGAACTCTTCAAATGCTATCTGGAGCAACGCACTTTTATAATATTGAAGATAAATTAGAGATTTTTCTCAATCGTAGTCTAGCAACCAACTCTTTTTTTTTTATCGCGGGTATGATTTGATCGAAATTAAGATAAAACGGAAATAGGAAAACATATTTTCTAGTTTCCGTAAACAGTTTTATGCAAAATTTGAAAAGGTCATTTGAGTTTTTCATTGCTAAATTGGAGAAGTTATATTTTATTGAAGCATTAAAAATTCACTGACAAGTAATTATTTAATGAGGTATCAAATATACATGGTTTCCGATACTTTCCAAAATATATTTAGCGCAGAAAAAAGTCTCTTGCTTTTAAATGATAGGCATATTTAAAAGTTTCTATAAAATAATTTTCATTAACTATATTTTCTTAAAAATTTTTTAAAAATTAAATTCTGTGATTAAAGCAGTAAAGCATTCTTACCTCAAAAGAATTTCCTGTCCCGAAGTAAATCGGCACAAAAGCGAGCCAGATAATGCACGTCGTGTACATAGTGAATCCAATAAACTTTGATTCGTTAAAATTCTCCGGTATTTTTCTTGTCTTGACAGCATACACCGTGCATACGGTAATCAATATCATATTATAGATGAGCGAAAGAAGGAATGAAGAGTCTCGTATGCTGCACTTAAGGATCACCTGGTTTCGTTTACCGTCCGGGTAATATTGCCGGATCCCTGGTGGCTCCAACAGAAACCAGACCGCTGTTCCTATCACTTGGACGGATGTGAGCACGGAAGCGATGGCCAGTTGCGATTTGGGACTGATGAAACTTGGCCGACGGGCTGAACGTCTGGCACTCTCAAAGATTCGTGATATCCGGTTGGTCTTGGTGAGCAACGAGGCGTAAATGATGGCGAAGGAGAACCCGATCCCGAACCGCTGCAAGCCACAAATAACGGGAGTCGGCTTTGCCAGCATCACGAAGGTCATAAAATAACAGAACATGATCCCCATAAGCAGCATATAACTGAGCTCGCGGCCAGCCGCTTTAACAATAGGGGTGTCATTGTTGCGGAAGAACACCACCATTACCCAGAAGGTTAGTAGCACCCCGAAGGTCGCAATGACCATTGGCACGATGGCAAACAGCGAGTCCCAACGCATGTGTTGCTGATCCAAATCATAGCAACTCTGTTTGTGGGGATACGGCCAGCGGCCATGTCCGCAGTCCCTGCAAGTAAACTCGTCCACCACATATTCCCAAGGCTCACAGCGATGGCAGATCCAACAGCAAACGTCACCCGATTGGGTTATTTTCACTTCGCCCACTTCGCATGGCAAGGAACAAACGGATGAAGTGAGGCTACCTAATGGCCATTTGACGTCATCAAGATCCATGTGGAGACCATCGTACCATTTGCCGACCACTTTGTAGTAATGAGAGCTAGTATTGTCATCTCGCTGGTAATTGTAAATTGTGTAGCGTCCTAGGCCGTCTCCTTGCCTGTCGAATTTCACTTCATTACCTCCTGGATCTGAAAATAGGGAAAGAAAAACAATAATTCATCTTTCTTTATAAAATTTTAGAAATGACTGCTTTTAGGTAAGCGTAGATTTTACTGTATAGTTTCTTTATGTATAGAACTGTTTATTATCATTTCAGAAGTTACTAGCATTACAGCGGTTTCTTAGACTAAGACCTAATTTAAATTAATTAGAAAGATTTATTTAATTTTATATAGCAGTCATAATTAATAAAGTTAGAAATCGAATTTTAAAATTATCAATTTTACTGTTTAGCCTATAATGTGCTATAGTTTATGTGACATTATATAAGAAAATAATCATCTAGAAGAAGGAAATCCTCTAATGTACATTATGACTTTAAAAGAATAACTTACACTATTATTTGGAAGCTATGGACTTGTTCACTTTTATGTCGTTTTAATTCTCTCTTTATATAAATACAGACAGAATATTTGTATTTACACAGAGAGAAAAAGACTGCGTCTAAGCTATTAAAATGCACCTGCATCTCGATTAACTTCTGAATCTTTTTCAATATCTGGACGACGAGTATTTGCTACAACTGTGAAAGAAGGCTACGCTTACGTGCACTATCTGTTAAAAAATGCTTTGATATGTGTACAAGAAACTTCTACAGGAAATACCTACTCAGTGATTGACAAGGTAGTATAGTATCTTCAGCGGTTAACTGTGGAACGATTTAGATAGTGTCTATTAAATTACTTAGGAACATTAGTAACTCATTAATAATAATAGTTAGATAATTTCTCAATCGTGCTATGATTTTGAGAGCACAAAGGATCACTATACACTAAGTCCAACATTCTGGATAAGGACACTCACAGAGAGAGTAGTATCCTAGTTTGAAATAAAATCAGTGTGAATGCTCACTATGTATTAGCTAGTAGAACTCTGAATCCTCTGGGAAATCAGAAATAAGTTGTTGAGCAGTATTCTAGACCATTTACTGCAAACTTAGATGATTCATGTTTTAGATACATATTAACGTCGGAGGCAAAATAGCTATGCTGTGTTTCCCTTTAAGGTTCCCCTAAATGAGCTGGAATGCAAGATAAGGCCTTCACGGGCTTTGCACCCAGCTAATACGTTTAACAATTAGATTATCAGGGAGGGCATGGAAAGGACATGACAATTAGTTTTCACTCCAAAGCTGGAAAAATTATGTACTAAACTACATTTTCTTCAATTTACATTTGCGAAAGGACTCTTTTACAAATGCTTTTTGTTTTTGCTTTTCTTTCGTCACTCATGAGAATTTTATAAATAATATTTTGTAATGTTTCAGTACATAGTGCAAAAACTGTAATATTTTGTAATTTTTCAGTACATAGTGCAAAAACTGAAAAATACGAAAACAGAGATTGTATTATCAATGCATACTATAAACGATTGCGTAATTGCTGCGCTAAATTTTATGCTTATATCTTGTTTGTCTTAACAAAAGTCTTAAAAAAGTTGGGCCCAAAAATTTTATGCTTATATCATGTTTGTACTAGCAGTTACACCCAAACATTTTATGCTTATATCATGTTTATAATAACAGTTAGGTCCCATAATTTGATGCATATATCATGCTTGTCTTAACAGTTAAGTCCAAAACTCGGTTCCTTAACTCTTTGTGGATAGCCAAAATTCTTATTATCTGAAAACCTTTCTTATTTTATTTGTTTCTTACGTGATGAATTTATGACCAGTCATTCATGAGATATTTAATCACGTTATCCTTTAGAAACACTCTGTATTTACCAAGAGACTTTACTTGAAGAAAGTTAAGTTACTCTCAAAGAAGAAGGGGAAACTCCTTGATACTCTCCGTTATTTTAAAGAAGACAACTGAAATGGGTCGATATCGATTTTATAGGGGTTTGCAGTGCAATACAAGAGGTCGATAAAGTCTACGGAGCAGCAAATATCTAAAACATAAGCTGCAATGCTAATGCTCATCCACTCCACTGTTGAAATTTTAGAAAATAAAAGGTAATTTTATTTTTTTAATGCAGCTATTATACAGATTACCAACTTCATTCACCAAATACAATTATAATCACATTTTACTTAACTTATGAATCAATAAAAGATCATTAATGTCTAAATAAAACAAATGAAGTTTGCAAATACTACTACACGTTACTACTAATGAGTTCAGTTTTATCCTCAAAATTCTATGTGTATTCAAGAACGGAAATTCTTGAGACGCAATGAATTGTTTCTGAAGGTTTTACGATTTTTAGGGTATTTAGAGGCAGTACATTAATTTAAATATAAATTCAATAATAAGTATGCCGAACTAATTTAAAAGAAGTGGACAAGTAATTACATTAAGAAGCTAATGCTAGAAACTACATTGTTTATCCTTTGAGTATAGTGTCATTTTTGGCGGAAGGACAGTTTAGAAAAATCAACTGTGCTCTGGCAAGGAATCAAACTTGAAGACTTTCCAGTAATCAGACGAATGAATGAATGGATGAACTGAACACTACATCTAAGCACACATGGAAATTAAAGCCTTTAATTCTTGTTCGATCGTAAATTTGTTAAATATTTTGTAAAACATAATTTCTGAGGAATAAATTAGGCGAACTGAAACAAACTAAATTTTACGAAGTGTTCTGCGGGAAACAAAAGTGTTTTCCTTTTTCAGTATTGAAGATGCAGGGATTATCATCGTAATATGCAATAAGAATATCGATAAATTACAAACGATATTAGTAAATTTTTGGGAGAGTGTATTAAAAATTAAAGTAGAATAGAAATGGAAAAAAAATTAAAATAAAAAAAAAACACTAATCCAAAGAGAATAATTCTAATTTTTTGCATACTAAATTCTTTTATGCACAATAAACATCAATGAAGATTTAAGCACAAAAAATAATGTATAAATATTACATTTACAACCAAAAGTACACATAATATGCATACCCATTTTCGCAGTCTTGATCGTAATCATATACTTCCAGTTACAGAAAAATTTTAAAGACAAAAATTTTTAAGTTTTGGCAATATCAAAAATGCGGTATCACAGTTGCTATACTTATATTTGGGAAAGTTAAATTATAAGAAGTTTGACTTCCTTATAAACAAAATTGACTACAGTATTTAATTTCAAAATTTACAGTTTTTAGTGTCGTTTTCAACTTGCCTTGAGGGATCGTTTAATTAAGTGAAAATAATTCGAAGAAATAAGTCTAAATGAAGTGCAGCAAAACGTGTGTGTAACTTTAATAGGTCGTACTTAGAAAGTCATGTAGTATCCATATCAGATTTTGTTTTCGGCAGATGGAGTACTATCGATTACCCCTTTAAACACAGAAGATATAATTCTTTGCCAAAACTATTTAAATTACGCACAGGAATAATTTAGTTAACTGTAACAGAGCAGTGTCGTTTATTGTGGCTGGTTAAATAGAGGAGGGTGCTTGCACACTACAAACACTAAAATTACATGCCGAGAAAGCAGTATATGTATTAAATTTAATTCATCAATAAAGCATTTTCTTTGGAGGCTCATATATGAATCATACGAAAAAGATTAGCAGTATTAGCAGAGAAATAGAAATAGCAGTATTAGAATAACGGTATTAGTATTCATAAATAAAGCAAAATTCCAGTAAGGGAAAACAAAAACCTAATATAGATTTATACAAACATAAACATGGTTACAATATAGTAGTCCCTATGTAATGTATTGTAATATGCCAACAGATGGTACTGCTTAAAAGCCGCGAGTACAAGCGCGATCTTAGTTCTCTCGTCACACCACTACAGAAGAAATTTATTCCGTTCGCTGACAGCGATCGCTCTTGAGGAATGGAACAGGTTTCTTCACTCTCTTCGTGGTAATGTGACGAGAGGTTGGAAGGCCTTGTTTCTCGAAGGTCGCAATAGAATGCTCAGAGTAGTATGTAAGGGCCGTTCCCACTGGGGTTTAACTGAGCTAACGGAGTCAGTTCCATGTGTCGACTAGCTCCGCTGTGCCTGCAGTTCAGATTTTTCAACTTGCTAGCCTGTGGGAAAAAACTGGTTTTGGAGATGGTTCGGCTACGTCAGGTGTCTACGTTAGCTCAGATAAACCCCAGTGGAAACAACTTAAGAGATAACGTAAGACAATGTAGTACAATGTAGTAGAGATATAATGATACGTTTACTACCCCAGCTTTCAGCTGAATTTATATATGTATAGTGTATATTTTATTAATAAATTAACAGTTAGAAAAATAAATGGCGTAGCCAATCTGAAAAACTGAAGCTAAAAAAATACTATCATACGTGTTGGTGGTTAATGCTATCTTTTGGATATTGTTACGAAATTCTCAAAGCACTGCATTTTTGTTACACGTAAACAGCAAGAATTCATCGTTTATTTTAAACTGTGGTTTAATGTAAACAAAATTAAAAATATCGTTTGGAATTTTTTCCAACAACAATGGAGTCTCAAAATGCAATGGCTTTTAATTTAACCCAGCCATGTGCTAATTTTAATCCATTTTAATTCTTTATGAAGAATTTTTAACTCATAAAAGCGCATAAAATGTGTAATTAATTCAACAGATAAAGCGGATTTATAATAAAACTTCATGACGTACAAAATGGATGATCCTATGGAGTGAATGATGTCAGCAATTTTTTGATGTGCAGACTTTGTAATAGAATAACGAACCGAAGAATATCCTTCTGACTAATTAGCGCACTTGTGCAGCGGATAAAGCAAAAGTCTTGCTAATGGATACTTAAGCTGTATTCTTTCTAGGAAACACTACTTCTAGGTTTTTGATAGAGGAATCATTAGAACAATGAGAAGATATGAGACTTATGAGATGAATACTAAAAATTAAAATTTTTCCCGTTCCGAAGATTGGCCGCTTGTTGGGAGACAGCTGGGAATAGCTGAACCCATCGATCTTCTAACAGTCTCATCACCAAACGCTGCTTAGGGTGTACTTCAGCGGAAGTGTTACGTAAGGATCGAACCTACATCCTTGGTTTCAGG